CCCCAAAGCTTTCCTGGTTTCTCACTGAGATGGGTCTCTCCTCCCTTCTTATTATTTGCTTGGGGACGTATGTGCAATTATCCAGCTAGTTTTTATTTCTCCCAGCCAAGCGGATCCATATGAATTAATAATCAGGAGCCGGGAGGTACCAAGGAGGCGGCTGTCCGCAGCCGGGTGCGGTGGGATAGCACCGTACCTGCCCAGGCTGGCCCTGCCGAATGGTGCTGGAGCTGCCCCCAGCAGCCATGCTCCCATCCACCCTGCCCCAGAGGTGTGGGGCACCTCTTCTCAGCCCTCACACTCAACTGATATAGCAGTTGACTGCAACAAGCCAGTGGGCTCTAGCCAGGCACGGCCCCCACATGATGCTGAGACAAGGCAGGAGGGTGTCAACAGGGCCAGATCCAGCCTCTCTGCAGCACCTCCATTTGCCTGAGGGGCTGCAAGGCAAATGCTTTGCTGCCTGGAGGGTCTCTTGTGGGTCTGGGGGTACGTTTATCTGCCAGATGTATTGGGGACGAGCTGCTGCCCCTCCCTACGTGCCATCTATTTCCTTGCTACCTCTGTAAACAGGCCCCTTAATTCAAAGCCTCGGGAGGAAAGGAGGGGGTGATCTCTGGTTATGTCTGCACTTGTAAAACAAACAGTCCCAGGGCATCCCCAGGCACAGCAGTGAGAGTGTCCTCATGGGAAATTTTAGCACTGCCCTGGTGTGATTTTGGCTGGGGCCAGCTCACACTGATCCAGGTAAACTTTTCTTGTGGTTTAGGAATTAGCCTGTGTCGAGGACAGTCCCAGCAGGATCTGGCACACAGGCTGCCCATTTGCAGGATGTTTCACGCCCTGGAGGTGGGCTGGTCTGTGGTGGAGGTCCTCAGGGTCAGAGAACAGCCCTGGGTTTGTTTAACTTAGCATAGGGCTGTAGACCTTCCTTCCCAGAGAGCCTGGTGATGGGCACTTTGGAAATACAGCTGCATTGACCCTGGCATGTCTGCTCTGGGCATGTGGAAGGGTGTCTGGGTAGAGGAGCTCCCAGGCAGGGAACAGCAGTGGGACTCTTTTCTGCAGATCTTGTGCAGTTAGGGCTGGAATGGAGGTTAAGGAGACTTTCAAGGGGTGGGCTGTGGGACAGCCGGGCATCTCACCACGGCCGCGCAATACCGGCTGCATTTGCACAACCGGCAGGCCTGAGGATGGAGGAAGGATGCACACACACGTGTGTGCATGCATGTGCATGCGTGTGCAAATGCGCTGGTGCTAGGCAAGCGCCCTTGGCATGCTGCATGCCTGTGTTTGCACTGTGCTTGCCATGTGCGTTTCAGGGCACGTGTGGGATCTGGCAGCCCGGCGCGGGTGCTTTGCGTGGGCTGGGGGTGTTTTGCTCAACACATACCTTCATCTACCATTGCAGTTCTGATGCACAGAAAGATCAGGCTTTTGATGTTGGTGTGCATGTGTGTGTGCTCTGCGGGTACTTCACGCACGCTGTGGGCAGCCTGCACGGATGCCTGTGTGTGTTTGCACATGCATGTGTGCATGCACGTGTGTGAAGTGTGAGATCAATGTCTCAGCTGGCCGCCACTCTGGCTGCTGGAATCCCTGCCTCCCAGGCCATGTTATAGATGAATACACTTGAAAGCATTTTTTCCCCCTTAGCCACCAGATTTCACTGGGAGAAGAAAAGGAACCAGGCACTTTATCTTCATTAGCAGCTGGGAGCCTCTTGGGGCAGCTTTTGTCTGAGCGATGCTCCCTCCGCCCCTGCTCTTATCCCCTGTCCTCACTCATTAGACCTCTCCAGAGGGGAAAGGGGCTGGCTGGCAGGGTCCTAAGGCTCTGCTGTGTCCCCATTTCTACTGGCCACCGTGTCCCCCAGCCCCATGGCCTTCTCCAGCTCCCTCTAGGCAGGAGAGCTTGGAGAGGAGGGTACAGGTTCCCTTTCTTACTTGCTCTGGGAGATCTCAGAGTCATTTTAGCCCCCAAGAAGCCCCTTTAGTCTGCAAGCTGCTGCAGCCTCTGGGTTTGGAGCTGGCTTTGGCCAGTGCTGGCTCAGGGGCTGGAGGGGTTGGGGAGGAGGATTGGAGGTGGCTCCATGGCCAAGGCCCAGGAGGGCTAGAGCTGGGTGGGCTGAGGGCAGCCCTTCCCTTCTGGAGCTGCTCATCACTGGGAAATGCTCATGCCCGCATCCATTAATACCCAGTAACCATGACAACTGCCATGGAGCTGTTATCCTGTCCCCAGGCCAGCCACCACAGAGGGGAGCAGAGGGGTCTCAGGGCAGAAGCTTTCCTTGAACTGCAGCTACGTGCAGAGTGGCATGTGTGCTGTGAATTGCCCCACTGCCAAGGCCTGGGGCAGTTTGGAGGGGATACAGCACTGCTCCCCCAGGGTGCCAGGGCATACCTGGACAGGCTGCTGCTGCCAGCCATGGGGCAGGATACTGGGGCCACCTCAGCTTTGGGGAGGGTTTGGGGGGAAAATGGAGGCAGAGACAGTCTCTGCTCCCCTCCTGCTAACCCAGATGCTGGGGGTTCAGCGAGACAGCGAGGCGGGGGTGTTGGGGGCAGACTGCCTTAGGTAACATTCCTTCCCACTTAAAAGGAACCATAAATCACTCACTCTTTATTAAAAGCTCTGCCCGACCAGGAGAGAAATGTCAGGAGCATAAATCAACTCCACTGCTCTCTTGCAAGGGTCCTGGCTTGCCAAGGACTGCTCCCTCCACCGTCCCCAGGTAGGGCACAGCATGGCCATGCTCTTTGCATCCATCCCCATGGACAAGGGGCAGGGATGCAGGTCAGGGCCCGATGATGGGAGCTCTCAAAAACCCACCCTCCCTCTGCAAATCTTTACCCTGGTGGGTGGCAAGGAATACAAGAAGGGCCCATCCAGGGTGTATGGGCTTTTTTGGCCCAAACCCTCTGCTTCCCCCTGCACCGCAGGGCCATGAGGGGAGCAGGACAGTGTCCCGGCCAGCTGGGTGTGGGGGTGCTGCAGGGGTGCTGGTGCGGGCCCAGTGCAGACAGGGGCGGGGACCACCCTCTCCTGGGGCCAGCTTCTCCCTCTGCCTGCATGGCGGTGAGGAGGGCTGGTCTTACCCAAACTCTCACCCTTTGCTCAGGAGCAAGAGACCCCGGCTGAAGCCAAAAACCCTTCACAAAGTCCCTGCTATCCTGCTGCCCTAATTTTTTGCCCTAAAAGATGGGAACTGCCCCCTTTTTGCAGTTCCTGCCTACCCCAGCAGCAGGGCTGGGGAATGGGGGCTGCAGCAGATGGGAAAACACCTCACCGTAGCACCCTGTTCCCAAACCTAAGGGCCGGCTGTGCCTCACAGGGTGCCTGTGCCTGCCTCCTGCCCACACAGGGCAGGGCCGGGCAGGGGGAGAGAGGTAGGTGAGAGCCTGAGCAGGAGAAGGACTCGCTTACACAGCGTTAAGCAGCCAGCACCGAGGTAGCTGCGTTTGCCTTGCCGTCTCCTGTTTTTCCAGTTAGATGCGTGGCTTAATATAGCAGCACTTATGTTGTAAAACATCGCTCATAAAACACAGAGGATATGCTGTGTGGGAGCGTTAGCAAGCCAATCCCCAGCTGCTTTTTGATGTCGGCTTGGAAATCGCAGCGTCCTGGCAACGGCTGCTCACTGGGGTTTGTGTGCAGCCAGGCCAGACCTTCCCTGGGTGGAAGCTTGCAGAAACCTCCAGGCTCCGGTCAAGCTTTGAGGCTCTCTATCCACTCCAGGATCTTTGTCCAGAGTGGAGTGGATGAGAGCTACTGGGGAGTGCTGGGGGACATGTGTGCAAACCACCCACAGAGCTCAGCTCACACCTGGTACCATGGATCTGATCCCATGGGAGCCTTTCCTTAGTGAGGAATCACAGGTACAGCAAACCTTGGGGGTCCAGGGGTTCATCAGTGACCAGCAGCACCCACTGGTGCAGACAGCACTGGCTGTGCACACTGAGGATGCAACAAGTGTTTCTGCAATGGGTCTGGTCTCCCAGTGTACTCAGCTCCAACAGCTGCATTGGTGGGAGAAATCACCGCCTTGGCTGCTCCCAACAGCACTGGCCTTTCTCAAGTTACTTCCCCAGAGAGGGAGCAGGCTGATAAAGAAAGTTGCTTGAGCAAAATCAGGCCAGGCTCAGGCACTTCGCATGCAGCCAGGCATCCCCATGTGGGAAGGCCAAACACTGGGGGCCTCATCCTGCATGGAGGGGATGGCTTGGCTCTGTGGGGTACCACCAGGCTGGAAGAGGCAGCCAAGGATATCTCATCTTCCTATCTCAGCTCAGGCCCCAGCTGGAGAGGGAATGGGCTGAGGGGGGAAAGAAAGGGAGTGAGGGGGAAGGAGCCGGGATCTTCTTGCTTGGGAAACTGCTGGGACTCTTCCATCAAAGGGAAGGAAGCCCTAGGCGCAGGGCTGCAGGCTTTCATGAACCGCTCGCTGCAACCCCGGCCCCCATGGGTCTGTTTATCCTGGCACAGGAGAGCCCGTAAACCACAGCCCTGAGCCAGCCCACAGAGCATAGCTTTCCTCCCTGCTGAAGCCCCTGTGGTGGGGCTGGGACAGCCTGTCAGGACAGGGAGGGGGACCACTGCCTGGACACGGCTGCCAAGCCTGGCTGGTGCGTGGCCATTGCCTAGCTGGGCTGTGGAGACGGTGCCCCCATCCTCACATCCCCAGAGCCAGCAGCAAGCCCTTCTGCTCCCATCAGCTCTGCAGGGCCATGCTCGGTCCCCATGGAGCAGCTGAATGTCACCAGGGCAGAGGGTCTTGGGGTCCCATCTCAGCTACTCCCAGCCCTGAAAGCAGGTCCCAGCCCAAGGGCAAGGAGCCACGAATGGTGCTGAGAGATTGTCACATGGCTGGCTGGCACCCTTAAAAGGTCTAGCCCCGTTAAGTGTCTCTCCCAGCTGGACAGACCCAAGGTGTTCCGTAGTTTCCCACGTTTCCTCCCGCCTGCTATCCGTCATATTTTGCATTTCTCCCTCTATCTTATCTCCCTGCCGGCTCACTTCTTTGCAGCTGGTCTCTTGTTTTCCCTCTGCCCTCTCCCTAGCTCCTTGGCCCCACCTGCTCCAGCTCCAGCCTGGATCCCGTGCTGAAGGACCTCGAGGCAGGTCTCTGATAAGGGCCAGACCAAACAAGAACCTTTTGTGCCATGCTGAGCTCATCCGGAGGAACTGGGTGAAGACCTGGCCTGGGCAGAGGAGCGATGCATGAAGGCGAGTGGCTCAGTGCCTCCATGCGGTGCAAAACATGCATCAGGATCCTGCCTCAGTTTCCCATTTCTCTGAAAAACCTTCCTCTCCCCCTGCTCGCAGCAGCATCCCTCCCTTGAGTAGGGGAGGGAGAAGGGCCCTTGCCGAGGGCTGAGCTGGAAAGGGAGGGCACATGTCCCGCTGAGAGATGCTGTCAGTGCTAAGCCCTGTGTGCACAGCGGACCTGGCAGCCAGCAAGTGCAGGGAATAAAATTCTCCCCCCTCCCGGCCTGCTGCCGGGTTAATATTCCCTCTAATGACAGACGGCTCCTTTTATCCTCTCTCGCACTCCTGCCAGTGATTTAATCTTGGAACAAGCCGTGATTATTTCCTGTACAGCTGCCTCCCTTGCTTCCACTGCAGACCACGCTTGACAGCATCCCACCAGGCAAGGACCAGACCCTCCTCTTGAGCCCCAACCCAGCCATGACCAAGGGCAGAGAGACCCTCTCCAGTCCCCTGCCTGCCTGGTCCCCTTGCCCCTGCCTGCCATGCACTGGGGATGCCATGGTGAGAGGAGGGACAGTCTGTGATGGGACCCCTGCATGGGGCTGGCAATCATCAGGGGACAAAAGGGGCTAGCAGTAGTGGATTGCATGACCAGGGTGTCTTCCAGGTCCCAGCTTCATGGGACAGGCCTAGGGCTGTGAGAGGAGGCTGGTGGTCTCATAGTGACTCCCTGGAGTTAGCATGGTATCAGCACAGAAACACCTACCCCTGGATCCCTCCAAGCTAGGGTACAGGGCAGCTGGATCTCAGTCAACCAGTCCTCAGCAGCCCAGAGCCAAGGCCCACAGAGCCAGTGAGAAGGCAGGTGAAGGATTTACCCTCATGGCTCTTTGCATTTTGCAGGGCTTCAGTGCTTCAGCAGATGCACTGCAAACTCAGGACCACAGAGCACACAGCCTGGGATCCCATCAACAGCCAGAGCAGAGCTGGGGGCACAGCCTGCAGCAGCTCCAGAGAGTTGGGGGTCCTTGGGGATACACATGCAGCTAGAGCAGGCAAGATTTGCTTTAAATGGAGAGCTTGGCAGGGGCTGGGACTGACTCATACTCATCTGTGAGTGAATGCTGTCAACCCCAACGCTAGAGAAACACGAGGCCAGAACACCACTGAGGACAAGCTTCTGAGACTCCTCTTGTGTGGCTGTTGGGAGAAGGCTTCCAAAATACTCGGTCAATATCCACTGTCTGCCTGCAAGTGGGCAACTTCGCTGTGCTGCTGGGCAGGTGGGGCTACTGGAGGTCAGCACTTGTCGCCAGAGCGTGTGTACAGGATGCGCATGCTTGTCGTTCATGTGTGAGCTACCTGGAGGGCTGGGAAAGAGGCCAGGATCCCTCCTTGCCAGGGCAGAGAAAAGCAGCGGGAGACCGAGGCTGGCCCAGGGCCACCCCAGCGGCAGCAAAACGTGGGGTGCAGCTCCACCTGGTGGGCAGCGAGAGCCCCCCCAAGTGTCACCAGGTCTCTTTGTACTCCGCACAGGGACAAAGTGCCCCAAAAGTTGGAGCCTGTCACCCTGCCTTCCCTGTCAGCACTAGGAAACAGAGCCAGGGGATGGCAGCCTCACCCGGGGTTTGCGCTGCTCTGGCACTTCGGGATGCTGGGGCAGCATCAGCCTGTGGATGCACACACAGAGCCTGAGCAGCAAGCACTGGGAGAGCTGGTACGGAGCCATCCATGACCCCACGACCTGGCCTTTGCGTGCTGAGGCTCCCCTGTGCCTGCAGGAGGAGGTTAAATGAAGGGAACTGCCTCCCTGCCAGATGGAAACAGTTCTGAGGGGCTGGACTGCTCAGCTCCCGTCAGCCAGGGAGGTGCGGGAACAAGTCTGACCTGGAAACCAGCAGTCCTGGGCTCAGCACCCAGCACCCTACATGATCCTGGACAAAACCTTGCTGCCTGCCATGGAGGAGCACTTGCACAGATACTTTTCTTGCCCTGTGCTTCCCTCTGTCCTCTTCCCCCTGCTCTGGGATGCTCCTCACACACAGCACCCAGTGGTATCCCTTCTATCCCAGAACAGAGACCTCAGCCCCTTCACCCCCAGTCCTTTCACTGGCAAGATCCCCCAGAGATGCCCCCAACTTCTGCAGAGGTTGTGGATGGAGAGTCTTCACAGGCAGGTGATGGGTAGTGGGGAGGAACCACCACCATCAGGAGAGCAGACACTTTCCCTCAGACAAGTGACAGCTTCTCAGCTGTGCCCCTGACAGCCAGAGAGTGTCCCCAAACCCGGGGAGTTGCGCTGATGGGCTGGGCACGGAGCCGCTGGAGCAAGCCTGCGCCCAGCTCCAGACAACCTGGAGATGGGGAGGGGACCCGGGGCAGCGCAGGGCCCGTCCCGGAGAGCTCCGGGGACGGCTGCCGCGAGAGGGCAGCACAGCCCCGGCCCGGGGGCACCGGCCCGGGACACCCCGGGGCCCTCCCCGAGTCG